CGTTAAATAGGGACGAATCAGCAACACCAAATACAGCCACCACTGCCGCCACCACGCCAATACCGCCATCGCATCAACCTTGCTCTTCCTTGCTGGCACCGCACACACTACTAACTTCTAACCCTTGCGCAACGACGAAAAAACATTGCAATAGGCCTAATTTGGTTGCAAAAGGTAAATGTTGCAACCCAATCGCGTTCGTTGCTAATGGTTGACAAAAGTCACGTTGCAACAAGGTATTGCAACCGTTGCTAGTTTTACGTTGCAACTGTTGGGGTTTCTTGCAACCATAGGTGTGCGTTGCCAAGCATGGCAATAGGATGTTATCGCAATGTTCACGGCCGTGGCAATATAAACACTTGCCACACCCGTCTTTGTAGCAAGAGGTGGTAAATGCAATGATTGATAGCGTAGCAATAGAGACATTTGCCACGAACAACATCGTTGCAATAGTCTATATTGCCACGCTACAATTTTGTTGCCTAAGATGTTATTGCCACTATCACCATGCCGTGGCAATAATATCATTTGCCACGCAATTTTATTCGTTGCGAGAGATCATACGTTATTGCCATAACCGTTATGCCGTGGCAATATTATCATTTGCCACGTAATTTTATTCGTTACCAGAGATCATATGTTATTGCTACGGTAGTCATGTCGTGGCAATAGTACCATTTGCCACGCAATTTTATTTGTTGCCATAGATTGTATTGCCACGCAAGTAAGTTCGTGGGCATAGTTTGTATTGCAACGGTAGTAGCATTTGATTTGTGGTTTAATAAAATCGTCATTGCCAAAACAATTAAATGATAATAAAAGCAATTGCACTCACATTTATTAATTACAATCAATCATTCAATAAGTTGACAAACCATCGAAATAGGTGCTGGTTGTGAGGAATGATCTGAAGATTGGTAAGGGGAAGATTGCTGCACAACTGCAGGTGAGACCTTTGCTTCACTAAGCCATGTTGTAAGATTAGTATATACTGGGAGATGTCTGTGATTAACTTTTTTTCACATAGTGGTATCTGGACTGTTGAATTTTAGAAATCACGCTACTCATGTTAGGTAATTAAAACATGAATTGAATTTCTTGGTCATCAATGTAGGTTTGCCCATGATCGGACAGTGCACATGTACTTCAGACGATGAGGAAGATGACTATTAGTACATTGGAGATGCATATGTATGAGTCAATAAAACGTTTTGTGGCCTTTTCAGAGTAAATGTGATATAACTGCATGCACTCATGACAACAAGGGACTTCAAGTCTGCTGCTAAGGTGGGTGCTACCTTCTGTAGTTTTACAGATTCTGGGAGTGATGGGAATTTATGCAGCTCATGTTTTGTGAACTGCAATAGAAAATAGAACAATCTTTTTTTGTGTGCTTAGACTTCTGCATCCAATTTAGTTGTTTGGGATTATGCTTTTCTAGTCCTACATTCTCTTAGCATTCTGCAGACTATTTATATGCAACTATTTTGTCTATGGATGTCATATAGAAAGGCTAGAGCTGTAGCAAATATATATATATATATATATATATGTTTTGCAATCTTTAGGTACCAGTGTGCTACCTATCTACCTATCGCATGTCTCGATACATATATACATGATGAACCAGATGCAATTTACTATCTTCTCATCTAATTATTTGCCATGCTCTTTGTTTTAGGGAATTGAGTTCTTGACTTTCAAGATGGGGAATTTGGAACCATGGCCTTGTCAATCACTCAATTTGTGAGGTCAAAAAGACTACATATTTATTATTGTTATGATAAATACATGTTTGGGACTAAAATTTTTAGTCATGTAATTTTGTAGTTTTTTTAAATATTTGATTTTTTTTTCAAATCCATGAGATGGCTTGGTTGTATATATGCTTGTGTACTTTTGCTTTTTTAAATAATATTTGCTAGCTTGCACAAGTAACAACCCTTCGTTAGCTTCTAGTTGCTTTCTAGCCTATACAAGATAGCCTACGTCCTTTTATGCTCCTCCATGGTCTGTTGATATGGATCTTAGTTCATAGTGGTGAGCTCTGCCAAACATGCCATAAGTATTATGGCAGTACAACCTTAGCTTTTGCAATGATTTAGTTTTTTGTTGCTATATGTACAACCCTTTTGCAACGCAAGCGACTATTACATATAACAAACCATATTCGCTGCAACATAGACGCGTTATTAATTTGTATAAGGTTCTCTGGCCACAAATGACAAGAACACAATTATGGTGTAGTGGTGAGTAGCTTTCCATGACAGTGAAAAAGGTCTCAGTTTCGAAACTTGGTATATCATGTTTTTTTTTTCTATAAGCGTTGTGCTCCAAAACTTTACTGAGTGCAACTATTTTTTTATTGCTATATGTAAAACTCTTTTGCAACCCAAACGACTATTACATACAGCGAATCATATTCGTTGCAACATAGATGCACTATCACAACCATCAACTAAAGAGTTGCAATATCATCTCAGTATTGCAACGCCAATAAAACTGCTCACAACGCAAATCAAATCGTGGCAACATTGACCACTTATTGCAACCGGTTTACAATTGGTTGCGATAGCACTTACTTATTACAACAATCTTCACACTCAGGGCCACGAAATGATTTGCGTGGCAAAAGTTCCACCTATCGCAACCAAAAGTGCAAATGGTTGCGATAACACCCCTTATTGCAACCAAATCTTGCTGTTGCAACAAAAAAACGTGGCATAAGGGTCAGAAGTTAGTAGTGACACTTGCTCTTCCTTGCCGGCACCGTGCCCTTGTGCTCTTCCATCACCGCCATGCTCCACTTGCCGGGGAGGAGAGAACTGATAGATTGGAGAGGAATATATGGTGGCGGGATGCGTTTTGGCACCATCCCGCACATGCGCAGCTAGATCCCACGGTCTCGTCTCCTGTGGATGAGGACCCGTACAACGCTGCTCCTGACGTCTCGTTTGCCGGGGGCTGGGGAGCATGTGCTGTTGCTGTTGCCTCACGAGACGTTAATGTCCTCTCTTCCTTCATTGATTGTTGTTCACGAGGGTCCTTTAATTTTTTGCAAAAGAGGCACTATGTAGACAGTTTCCGCAACCCTTTGTACATACCCTTAGACTGTCTCCAACAGCCCGAACCCAAATACGAGATGCATTCATTGGTTTAGGTTGCGCACAAGGAAAAGGTCACGCACCCAAAACTTCACGTTTCCAACAACAGACGAAAAAGTCCAACGTAGAAGGCCGCCCAGCTAAGCACCGCCCACTCCTCGCCGTGCCGGCTGCTCCTCGCGGCGGCCGCTCCTCGCCGCGCCGCCGGCTCCCCGCCGTGGTCCCGCCTGGCCGTGCCCCGCCGCGGGCCCGCCTCGCCGTCATTGAGGAAGAAGGGAGTGACTGCCGGCGTTGAGGAAGAAGAGGAGCGGGGTCCGAGGTGGCCATCGCCGTGCGAGCTAGCTTCACAGCACGAGCTCTAGATCCGGCCCCAGCCTCACCGCGTGACTACGGACCTAGCGTCGCTGTGCCCGGCGAGATCTGGACCCGCCGCCACCGTGCGGGCGAGCTCTGGCCCCAGCCTCACCGCGGCGAGCTAGTCCACGAACCCCACGGTGAGCTCGTCCTCTAGCCCCATGGTGCGGCCTCTGCCCCTACCACCTCCAGCCAAGAAGATGAGGAAGAGAGGAGCGCACGGCCTCGCCAGAGATTTGTGTCGTGGAACAGGACTGCAGCGGTCCCGCCTCGCCATTGTCCATGGGCCGCTGGACCTCCTCCTCGCGCTCCCGCTGCCGCCGGACGTCCTCCGCGGGCTCCTCCTCTCCTCCCTCCACGCCGACCTCCCGAGCTGGAGCGGTAGACGACCTCGTCCAGCGAGTAGCGTTTGTCGGGGTCGCCGCTGGGCACCGGCGGGAAGGGCTCGTACCATGCCGAGAAGCCCTGTGCCAGGCCCCGGCGCCGGTCGCTCCACCCGGAGATTTGCGTCGTGGAGAGAGGCGACGCTTATTTGCGTTCTGGTTCGCCTGGTACACAAAATGGGTGCTCTGTTTGCGTCTTCTGTTGGAGCCTGTTTCTTTCACCTAAAACAATGTGGAGGACGCATTTTGCGTTTGCGTCGTGTTTTGCCAACTCTGTTGAAGACAGTCTTAGAACATTGATAATATATAAAGTGTTGCTACATAACGTATGATACATGCTGTCCCCATATGGTCATCAACAAAAGGATTCAATTTTGAACTTGAAATTCTTGAACATAACGAAATATAATAGGATCGGAGTTAGGCCAAGATGTTTTCATGTGGCCACTGCACTGGTAAGTGGTAACCTGTGTAGCCTCATGGTACTTGTCTAGGTACACCAAGGTGCCAACAGTGCCAACAGAAAAGATTCTCTGGACAAAAATAAGCACAAAAGGACAAAAATTCAGGGCAAGGAAACTCCTTCACTAGAGTCTCACTCCAACCATATATACACCTCCCCTCATCGCTCCACCGTGTACCCTCCAACCAGTTGATCATTTCTCTTCTTCTCCCCCTCCAGCATACAGTGCAATCGAGCACACGTGCATCCCGAGCAGTAGCAAAGCCGGGAAGCATGTCATCCCGTGGTGCCCTGCACATCCCCACGAAGAAGCGCTCTGCGGGAGGACCGTTCGCGACCAAGGTCCCCTACAACCTAGAGACCAGTGTTGGTCTCCAGGCAGCCCTCGTGGAGCCTTCGTCGGCGCACCTCCATGTGGCCAAGCCCGTTCGCCGGAGTGCCCGCGGCATCACCCTGGCGGTGACAACCAACCGATACTGCATGATGACTAGTTCCTCTTTCTGTGTCGATGATTATTCTCTCGTATGCAAGCTCTGCGACCGCCGCATGGATGACCGCATCATCTACATGTACATGTAAGCCTCGATCGGTTGAGCCCGCTTGTTCTTTTTCATGTCCAGGACCACATAATATATGCAATACATCATGAATGGCATGGCAGAGGTGGTTTCAATTTTCTTTTTCATTGGAATGCAGGAGCATGGGGTTCTGCACGGAAGAGTGCAGGAATGAGTATTATTTTCTAGAATACAGGTATAGGCTGACCATGGCAATGGAGGCCGAGGGCAGGAGGTCCAGGAGCGAGGCAAGGAAGGCGCCGGTGGCGGAGGGAGAAGCAGCTAACGGCTACAGCATCTTCTTCACTTGTGCTGAGGTCGAGTCGTTCCCTTAGGCTGAGCTTGAAACAGACATATCTCCTTGTCGCTTGCTAATAAAGCAGCAGCTCTAGTCAAATTTCTGTGTGACCTCTTGTAAGATGAGTTGGTGAGAGTTAATAAGAATTCATGGGTTTCAGTTCTAGCTAAGAATTTCCTAATCTTAATTTCTTCTTTGTTACAGCAATATATGCAACATGTCTATATTAATAAACGTGTTATTGTAATTATGTGTCATCTATCACTCATAAAACTCGCTGGAATTCAACTAACCTCGATCGAGCAGAAGTCTGTTAGTCATATAGACAAACTCTGCTCTAATTAAGCCAAACTTTACAGTTGCTTTCACATAAAACAGACTGTCTAAAGGTAACTGATGTTATCTCATGTTTAGAATGTTTCTTATATGCTTGTCGTACGTCACAACAACGAGCCAAGAAATCAAGCTGTAGCCTAGCTATCTATGTGCTTTACACGTCTGATGAGCACAGTACAACTGGCTACCAGCACTAACTGGGTTATTGGTACATTGGATACAAGGATTTTTTTTTTAAAAAAAATGTTGAACTAATAAAGATTCCAAATTTAAGTCCCGCCAGGTGAAAATTGAAAGCGGTTCCATATATTCATTTAGCCTGGGTTTGTATTCCGGGTACAGGCCCAATCTCAAAATATACTGAGACGTTTTATCTTTTTTAGATACGTTACTTTTATTATGCATCTAAACGTAGTGTATATCTAAGTGCATAGTAAAAGTCATGAATCTAGAAAAGTCAAACCATCTTATAATTTGAAATGGAGGGAGTAGTAGCTTAGGAATAGAATCCGATATCTAGCTTAGGCTTCCATGGCAAACCCAATCTCTAAGGCTACTTTGCTACAAGGCACCAAACTTATGTGGTTCAGCCAAACTATGAGTCATGCCGGACGCTTTGGCCTAACCAAAAGAGTTACTTTATGAAAATTTATTTATGGACATGGTATTATCAAAATATTGATTTTTGGGCTAAAAAAACTCACCTCATGGAGGATATGAACGGGACACAGGGAGAGAGATGGAGTTGTGCTACTTTTTACTTTTAGAAAGCTACTCTTGGAAACTATTGAAGATGGAGAAAAATACACTCCATAATTATTTTGTTCGCTTTATTAGAGATGCTCTAAACTGCCAAAAATATTATTCAGTCACTAGTCCATTAACCCGTTCTCTTGCATGGGCTACAATTTTAAAAGATGTACTATTAATATATTTGATTAATAAAAAAATTACTTATATTAAATTGTATGTTTTCTCTGTTTATTTTCTACAAAATATACATAATAGATACTTTGTAGTCTATATCTAATGATCATAAAATTATTAATTATTTTTTTTGCAAGGGACTGACTTATATATTTTTCATGCGTATTTATATTATTAATTTGCATGGCAGCTTGTATATTTTAATATGCAATTAGTTTGAAACCTTGCATTAAATATGGTGACCCTTGTTGCATCACATATATTAAGTCATGAATTTAAATTTTGATTTTTTAACTTTATTTTTATGTACTGCTACAGATATTTTCCTCAAGTTAAAACTTTTGTGCTTATTGTATATTTTACTAACTCTTATTTTTGGACTATCTTAAAATAAGGATTTTAGGTCATATAGTACATTCTTTAAATACTACAATAGCATATGCAATCATTTGAAACTTGCACCATGTCACCTAAGATAAGTGATAGACCTTGAAATGAGATCTTGGATGAGGGTAGCAGTTGTGGGGGTATAACTCTAGGTATCCACGGCAATGGACATGGGCCACACCATCAGGGATGGTCCCGCCCACGACATCAAGACTTGCGGCACACGGCACTGGTCGGCGTACACCGCAACGCATCTAGAAGATATGATTTATTAGGACTCTTATAGATGTTGTAATCCAAATAGAATACCTACCATATGGCCGGTTAGGATACTTTCCTTGTAACCCACTACTAGAAATATCTAATTCTATGACGAAAATCTTAATGACGAATCCGAAACTGTCATAAAAAATTGCTTTTTATGACGAATATTTTGGTTTAGTCATAGATCATCGATGAGGATCCTCGAACCCCCCATTTTATGATGAAATCAGATATCATCATAAAAAATGTCATAGAACAGCGTAGGATTTCGTCACAGATCACTCGCGTGCCTGTTCCTGCTCATTTGTGACGAACTTATTTAGAACTATGACGACTAGGGTTTCGTCATTGAATTAATTACACATCTGTGATGAACAATATTCGATCTGTAATGAACAACACTTCATCATAAATCTCCACATGGTCCTTTCTCCATCTGATATGTACATGTGGGACCTGCAGTTACTGATCTATGATGTTGGCGATTCGTCATAAAAATCTCCGCTCGGTCCTTTCTCCGTCCGACGTGTACCTATGGAACCCTTCTCCATCGGATCTGTGGGACCGCTGTGGGACCCGACGGCTTACGTGTCACGTGTACCTGTGGGACCTTTCTCTATCTCCATCCGACCTGTGGGACCCGACGGCTTGCGTGTCACTTGTGGACCCTTCTCTCCATCTGACCAATGGGACCCCTGTGGGATCCAACGGCTTGTGTGTCACGTGTACCTATGGGACCTTTCTCCATCTCCATCCGACCAGTGGGACCTAACGGCTTGCGTGTCACTTGTGGACCCTTCTCCATCCAACCTTTGGGACCCGATGGCTTACATGTCATGTGTACCTGTGGGACCTTTCTCCATCTGCATCCGACCTGTAGAACCCGATGGCTTGCGTGTCACTTGTTGCCGCCAGGGTTTAATAAATTCAAACTAAAAAAAACCATGAGACCTGGGAGCCAAACCTGGGACCCAGAGCAAGGAATAGACCGTCTTCACCATTACGATAGACGCTTGGTTGTATTGACATGTCTTTGGAGTCCTCATAGTAGTATATGTTATCTGTGTGGACAGGTTGACTTATATATTGGATATATCCCCTGCAAGTGGAAACAAATCTGTGCCCGTTGGACTTGCGGCCGCGGCAACGGCAGCGGAGGATCCCTGGTGTGCTACTGTGGTGGCTCAGGTGTCCTTTTGGGGGCTAGGCAGTGGGTCTTCCTGGTGGAGCACGGCAGCATTGGCGTCCGTGTCCGTCGTGTGTCGCGGCAGAGGCGACAGATCTGATCCACAGGTCTCCTTTCTCACCTTTTCCTATTCGCTTCACTATTTTGGTCCTTGCTTGAACATGAGATATACAAGAAACATTGTAGCATTTCAGATCTAGTTACGCCAATGATGATGAAAAGAACTAGGATGTGGCACTGGTTGGTTTTCTGTCGGCGCGTGTCACTTGTAGATCTGTCTAGGCAAACAAACAGGCCCTTCGCTTCTGCCTTAAACTATTTTTTCTGTCCAATGCTTGCTTGATTCTACATTTCTATTTCATATGCTATAGTGCCACCAGTGAGTCCTTATGGTATTTTGAACTTGTGACATATCTGAGGGCACATTTCTGTGCCAATGATGTCTATATGGCTGTTGGATGTATTAGGATGTAGCTCATATGTTTGCTTTCTGTGTCTTCTCCTTGTTGACATCCAAGTTATCCATTTGGTTCCAAACAAGATGAAGGCATTGAAAGCAAATCAATGCTTTGTGTCCATCATTCACATGACTGAGGCCACTAATGTCTAAGCTGCACATGTTGCTACTGATTATAATGATGATCACTACCGCTTGTTCACTAACATTCTACTTATGAAATCTGAGGCAGCCTGTTCGGGTTGTGCAGATTTGAGATGAGTCATCCGTGCTATGTTGTGTTCAATGTCCATGAGCCAGGAGTTTACTACAACTAGCCTGACTGCCATAGGCAAGTTCATAGGTTTTGTGGTGCTTGTTATAAAAAGTATAACTCCTATGAAGAAGGAATTGCTACCTTCAAGTCAAGAACCAACTCAAATCCTGCCTTAGCTCATGATGATGACTTCTATCTTCAAAACCCAACAGTTGCTCCACCCTCTTTCTCCTTCAAAACTGTTGTAATTGTAGTCCTCTTAATCTTTGTTTGTCTCCTATGGAAGAAGCTCTGAGCTCGTGTACTGATTGTAAGAGTGATGGTTAGACTTGATTTAGCTAGAATTGTAATGGTTACAGCTCCATTAAATGCTACTCTAGTTTGAGTTATATATATCTATGTGGTGCTACACTAAATTTAGATGAGGTCGTACCATGAAAATTGTTAATGGTTGTTAAAGTTGCACTTTGGTATGAGTTGTGGACTTCACTGATGGATCTTTGTTGGATTATTTTCCTCCTCAATGATCTCATTACTGAGCAAGCTCTCATCCTACTGCATGCACATTGACAAAATGGAGGAGGCCCCCAACAAGAGGAACGCACTGGCCAGCCTCATGGATGATGTCTTTGTCGAGATCCTCCGTCGCCTCCCAGCCCACTCCTTGTTCTACTTCAAATGTGTCTGTCGCTCCAAGAAACACCTCATCTTGAACAACCATAAGTTGATGCCCCAGACTATGGATGGCTTCTTCCATGATGGAATCTACGGCCAACGAAACTTCACCAGCATCACCGGTGTTTACCCCTCCTTGTCCTTCTTGCCCTTCACCATGAACAATGTAGCTATCTCAGATTGCCACAACGGCCTCATCCTATACTGGTTCCTTGGGGCTGATGGATACCGCTATGTTGTCTGCAATCCGACAACCCAGAAGTTGAAGGCACTGCCGCCTAGAATCCATTCTGTTGGTGAGGCTCAATTTGGGTTCGATCCGACAACCTCCTCGCACTTCCATGTGTTTGAGTATATGGAGGAGGATGGTCAGTGCGTGGGTGTGGACATCTACTCATCTAAAACTGCAGCATGGATCTTTAAGGAATCTAAATAGGGTGAGGAGGTTGAGTGGACATTTTCAAAATCAGTAACTGTGTTTCTTAATGGTTTTCTGGACTATATTGGGTTCTACGAGGGTTACCATCGTATACTTGTTGTGGATATGGA